GGAAGCTGTTGTGGAATATTATTGAACTAGGCAAAGATTGCTGCATTTGTTTCTGCTGCCTTTGCCGACAATATAAAGATGTGTTACATTTGTTTGTGCGGTGGAATATCACTCTAAGCGTGTGAAGGTGTGTCACATTTGTTTCTGCTACCTTTGTTAATGATGTAAAGATGCGGTGCTGTTTCACCTTGCCTAACTAAGGCTCCTGATTGGTCTAATAAAGAGCCGAATGATCAATAGCTAGTCAGGAGAGGGCCAGGCGGGGCTGGAGGGCAGAGAGGATGGGGAGGAGGAGAAATCTAGGCATGGGAGAGAAGAAGAGGGCAGGGAGAGGATGAGGGAGGAAGAAAGGGAGACACCTGGGGCCAGCCAGGCGGATGCCAGACAGCAGACACAGAATAGGCCATATGGAAAGAAAAGTAAAAAGCCACAAGGCAAAACAGATGAAGAGAAACAGGTTAAGTTAAAGGATAAAACAAAAACAAAACCTAGCCAGGAAGGAGCGAAAGCGAAGGCTGAGCATTTATAACTAATGATGTCTCTGTGTCATGATTTGAGAGCGGGGTGGTGGCCCGAAAAGAAGGTCTGGCACAGGAGACCAAGAAAAGAAAGCCTGCTGTGTGAGACCAGTGGCCAGCACCCTAGATGCAATAGCCGTGTGTCAGTTAGCCCTGATTATCAAGAGACAAGGCCCGGGGGCATTGCTGAGGAAGTGTCCAGGTGAGGTAAATGGAGTTGGGAAGGCACACCTGAAATGTGGGCAGCGCCAGTGTGAGGGCCGGGGTCCCAAACCGAATAAAAACGAGGAAATGAGCCGGGGCCAGCATTCACCTCGTGTAGATGCAAGGTGACCAGTTGTCTCACACGCCTCCATGTCCTCCCTGTCATGGTGCACTGTACCCTCAAATGAAGCCCAGATAAACCGTTCATCCCTTGCTTTTGTTGGGCGTTTTGTTACAGCAATGGGGAACTAATCCAGTCACCAGCCCAGCTGTGAAGTCCACTGATCTGGACTCTCAGCTCCACTGTGGTCTAAGCTTAGTGAGCCTGTGAGAACGACATATGGTATATCTCTCTGTGCCTGTTTCCTTGTCCGAAGGATGGGATAACAGGACATCAGTAGCTGCTACGGACAGTGAATAACACAATGCTAATACCAGGCCGAGTACGAGGCCTTGAAGGCGGCTGCCATCTTAGAAAGTCTAACTCAGGACAGCTTGAGTTAATGGGCCTCAGGTCCCCCGTGTCATTTCAGAAGTTGGAGAAGTCTCTCTCACACATATAATGTTTTGAAATACTGTTTGTAGATCATTTCACCCTCTAATACGCCCGAAATTTCTGTATCCCCCATATACCTTCATCAAAATCATCCCACAGTGAGTGGTGAAGGTCAAAGGCTTTCCATCTCTTAAGTAACAGAAGCCTTGTTGATTAATCCTAAACCTCTAGTTTCCACAGGTAATAGGGAACCATTCCAAATTCACTCCAATTACACTTTCACAAGGTCCCGCTGTGTTAATTACTTTTCCATTGCTATGATAAAATGCCACGGCCAAGGCAACTTACAGAAGAAACTGTTTATCTGGATTATGGTTCCAGAGGGTCAGAGAAGAGAGGCAGCAGGGAGCAGAGGGCTCACATCTTGAACCCCGTCTTAGTTAAGGTTTCTATTGCTGTAAAGAGACACCATGACCACGGCAACTCTCATAAAGGAAACCATTTAATTGGGGTGGCTTCCGGTTTCAGAGGTTTAGTTCATTAACATCATGGTGGGACATGGTGGCATGCAGGCAGACATGGTGCTGGAGAAAGAGCTGAGAGTTCTCGTCTTGCAGGCAACAGGAAGTGAACTGAGATCCTGGGCATACAGCCTAGGCCTCACACTCCTGTCCCCACTCCCCATGCCCGGAGCAGAGTGGCTTAGGTGACTCAGAGCCATAGTGTGGATTTGGCTGGCCACATTTCAGGTCACACCTTGTGGCTGTGGGATGATGTTAGTGTCTACTTGAAGACCCCCCGGCTGCAGAAGAGACGAGAAGGGATGGAGACTCGGCAGTTGCTTCCCTTCCTCTTAGGCTCTTTCTCCACCCCAGAGGCAATGATAGAGCAGGTAGAAGCTCCTAGCCAGACTCTTCATGCTTACTATAACAGTACTCATCCCTAAGCCGGGCGGTGGTGGCGCACGCCTTTAAAATCCCAGCACTCGGGAGGCAGAGGCAGGCAGATCTCTGTGAGTTCGAGGCCAGGCTGGAACGACAGCCTCCAAAACAATACAGAGAAACCCTGTCTTGTAAAACCAAAAAAAAAAAAAAAAAGTATTCATGCCTGCTGTAACAGTCTTCATGCCTGCTGTAACATATTCATGCCTGTTGTAACAGTCTTCATGCCTGCTGTAACAGTATCAGCCCTGATTTTGATGCCTATTACTACAGAGCCACCTTTGGTCCTGCCCCATAGCCCACCACCTGTGATCACGGTTGTTACCCCTGCCCTAGTCCCATCTTAGGGCGACCAGCCCCACAATGGATCTTCTGGAGTCCCAGGGACTAGACTGAGCCCCTGAAGGGGAGGTGACCAGAGCAGAGAGGACCCGGGGCTTGGAACCTCTGAGCTTGGCTCCCGAGGCCTCTCTGGGCTGAGTGTGTCAGGGACCAAGTCACGATACCTGGTACCTCTTCTCTTTAGTCCTATTCACAGTGGACAGACCCCCTTTCTGATGCTCAACTACAGCTTCCGAACTGAGAATTTGGGACTTATTTTTCTGATTCTAAAAATAAAAAGTGCCATGCCTTTTTCCCCTAACAGTTAAAAAAAAGATACTTGGCATATCTTGAACATATATGAGACCTCAAAGCCCACCTCCACAGTGACATACTTCCTCCAACAAAGCCAAACTTCCTAATAGTGCCACACCCTTGAGGGCCATTTTCTTCCCAATGACCACAAACTCCAAGCACAAAGCAGAGAGAGCAAACCAAAATGCTACAAGTCTTTAATCTCTCCACGGCACACTTCCTGTAACAAGGCCATGCCTCCTAACAGTGCCACCAACTGGAAACCAAGTATTCCAATGTCTGAGACTGTGGATTATATTTCTCATTTAAATCACCACACTTGGTGGTGAAAGATCTTTTTTGTTTTTAAGATTTATTTATTACGTGTACAGTTTTCTGTCTGCATGTATGCTTGCAGGTCAGGAGAGGGCACCAGATCTCATTATGGATGGTTGTGAGCCATCATGTGGTTGCTGGGAATTGAACTCATGACCCGTGGAAGAGCAGCCAGTGCTCTTAACCACGGAGCCATCTCTCAGTTAATGATCTTGTAGTCTTATAAATACTTTCTCTGTCTCCAAGGACTCTCTGGGAACTCTGAGAGAGATTCCCTTTTTGTGATTTGAGCGTGTGACTCTGGAGCTTCAGAACATGGACGTGGAGGGTGACAGCAGCGTGCCACCACAGCAAATGGCTGCATCTGCAGAAAGCTCCATGTGTGGCACCATCGCCACTGCCGGGTACCTCCATCGCCACTGCCAGGTACCTGTCAACTGACTTCCTAACCCCCTCACATTATCTGCTCTTGTTAAAGTCAGCCCTCGGTACATGAAGGTTCCCCAACCGGCATGGACAGAAAGCCAGGGAACATTGTACGGTAACAAACATGCACAGACATTCCCCCATAATACCTTCCCCTAAAGGACACAGCATGACCACTGACACCATACTAAGTACTATAAGAAATCTACATGGGAAGACTGTGAAGGCCACAGCAAGATGCTATGTCATTTCCTCTGCTGGACTTGGGTGCACGTAGACTTTGGTCTCAGCAGACATCCTGGCGCCTGAATACAAGGGGCTACTATACGACCAACCCATACTTCTAGACAGCCCCCTTTGTCAGGATGCCCTTCTACTCAAAAACATCCTCCCAACTTTGTCAGGATGCCCTTCTACTCAAAAACATCCTCCCAAGCTCTCTCTTTGTTGCTCAGCCCTGCTCTTAGGGAACCCATGTCCTCTCCCTTTGCCTCTACTCCCCATCTCTGGTATTCTTCAGATACCCGAGAGACTGACAGAAAAGGGGAGATGCTGCCACACTTGCAACCCAGGCTCTCCTCCAAGGTCAGCGCGTGAGACCTGGGCTTGGATCTCTCCGAGCTTGAGGAAGAGAGCAGCTGGTATCTGTCCTGAGTCTCTGAGTGTACTCAAGGATGTGCCTTACAGTTGAAGGAGATAAGGGTCCCTGAGGACAAAGGATACTATAAAAAGAGAAGATGACAGCTGAACACAACAGTTTGGGACAAGGAAGTCTGGAGAGGCCTTATTAACCTGGGATATAAGTGGGGTGGTGGGAGGGATCCCCCAGTAAATCTGACCAAGGCCAGTAGATGTAGGGATTCTAGGTCAGGCCCAGGTTTTTCTGACATGTCCAGTAGGGAGTTTCTTAAATACTTTAAAGGAAGGATAGAATGTCGAAGAAAAGAGCAGTTTGACCACTGGGGAAGGATCTCACAGTCATCATTAGGCAAGGTGGTACAGGCCTGGGCTCCCAGCACCAGGGAGCTGAAGTGGCCTTTCAATGTGTGTGTGTGTGTGTGTGTGTGTGTGTGTGTGTGTGTTGTGTGTGTGTGTGTGTGTGTTGTGTGTGTGTGTGCATATACCACATGAATAGCTGCATCGTACATCTGCCCCATGTGCAACTGTGTGTCTAGTAGGTAACAGAGGGAAGAAAGTAAGTCACAAGGATTCTACACTGGGCACGTGGCTGGGCGGTAAGGCCATTGCAGGAGAAGCACAGACGGCAGGAGGCAGTGGCCTCACCTGCAGACAGAAGTGTCCGTTTGCCAAGTGAAGGTGCACCCTAGCGGGTGGAGACACACAGGCAGAAAAGAGTTCTTACGCAAAGGGTCACGACACTCCCTGGAATGGACAGACGACATCAAAGGGGGACATGTCAGAAGAGGCTCAGGGAAACAAACCAGGCATGGCAATAACCGTGAGTTGGACAAACTGGGGGCTCTAGATCCTAGGGAGGAGCCAGATGCATCTGAGAATCCACATTTTTTGTGTGTGTCTCCCACAGCCACACTCATCTTTCGTCTGCCTCACTGGCCCAGCTGTGTGCATCTCTAAGCCCTCAGAGGTCCTTGCTCCCTCCAGGAAGCGGCGGACATTGCCGGGCTTCTGCCGCAGCGTGGGCGGTCATCGCCTGCTCTCGTTGTCGTTCGCACTCTTCCGCCAAGATCCTAAGCCTGGAGAATGGGGACCGTTCTCACAGCCCAGCAGTGCCAGGTAACGAGATGCCGGGGAAGCAGTTGCTTGTAACTGACAGCATATGCAATACCCACTCGTACAGTTTGCGTTTTTAAAAATACACCCGCACTCTGCACCAGAAGCTCCTCTGCCCTTTTTAGCTTAGTCACAGCTTTGAGAATTCTTCCCACGACAGACCCTTTCTCTGTCGGGCTGGCATTTGGTAACTTGGGCAGCCGGAGCTGAACCTCATTTTGTGCTCACTTGGCTTTTTGAAAACTTCCCCAACTGGTCTCTGTCATAGCTGGTGTCCCCAAGTCTGTGTACCCCTAAGTTATGAGAATCCATCTCCCTAGAGATCAAGGTGCATTCCTGCTGGCATGCCATGTCTAAGCGCTGGACTCTGTAGGAGCTCATCATTCTGACGGCCAGGGTTGTTTCTTCCGCTCAGTGCCTCAACTTGGCACAAAATGCAGGGGCTTTGTACCAGCTTTTCCAGCAACTCTAATAGGAGGCATCAGTTCATGATGCAGTTATCACAACTCCGTTTTGTGTTCCTGCAGTGACGGGGCTGTTGGTACGGCTCAGTTGATAGAGTGCTTGCATAGCATGTATGAAGTCCTGAGTCTGATCCACAGTGCCACATAAACTGGGTGTGGTGGCTCACACTTGTAACCCTAGCCAAGAGGATCACAAGTTCAAGGTTACCCTCAGCTACAGAGACTGGCATACACCAAGGCAAGCCAAAGCAAACACATAAAACCAGACCAGAAGGTTGCATTTGGAAGCAGAAAGGCCAGACTGATGATGGTGCACACCTGTGATCTCAACCCTTGGAAGGCAGAGGCAGGAGGATTACCACAACTTTGAGGCTAGCTTGGGCTATATAGATAGACAGAAACACTTCACTCATGCATACATGCATGTATGTACCTGAGTGTGTATGCAGAGTGACAAGTGCCTCACAGAGGTTGGGGTGACATCACTGCAGTTGTCTGAGCACTTGCCACACGCAAGGCACAGAGAGCTCTCTGGTTGTAGCATCCTTACTTCTGTCCTGCAGCTGATTTTCCTGCTTGCGGAATCTGGGCCTTGCCTTTGACTGACTGTGGGTGATGCTAAAAGGGTGTTTCCTGTGGGAGTCCTAGAGGCAGATGACCCGCATGGAAGCTATATGCCACCCATGGCAGTAGAAGTCAATGTTCTACTCTCTCATCTCTGTCTATTGTCACTTCTCCCATAAACAGAGTCCAGAATTGGGCTGCCACAGATTGACTTGCGGAAGTGATGACATTTATCCTAGAGATAAACAGGGCCTTGCAGGCATGTGGTGTCACAATATTCCACTAAATAGACAATGGTTGGGATTCTAATTTCATATGTAAATCTTGAGGTTTGATACACACACACACATACACACACACGAGAGAGAGAGAGAGAGAGAGAGAGAGAGAGAGAGAGAGAGAGAGAGAGAGAGAGAGAGAGAGAGAGAGAGAGAGAACAGCAGAGTCTAGGAGGGAACATGGGGAATATTTCCGTCTTCCCACGTTGATTCCAAACTTGAATTTCTGCTCCAATTGGAAAGAGGCAGACAACCAATGGTACCTATGTGGAATATTAAGAAATTCATCTATAGCTCCCCATTTTTCTAAATTGCTTGGGAAAAATACATTCAGTTAAAGAAAAAGACAGCACTCCATCAGGAAACAGACTGAGATTTGATGACAAGCAGAGACAAAAGTGGTCTTCAAGGTCAATTAAGTAGCATGAAATTCTGGAAGGTAGCAGAAGTTTCCACTGGAAGAAAAGTGAGAGAGCCCTGTGGAAGATGCTGCACCCGTGTCTGTGATCCTGTCCTCCTCAGCCATGCTACTGTTCTCCTCAGCCACGCTACTGTTCTCCTCAGCCACGCTACTGGAACCCACGAGAAAACAAGCTCATCTGAAAAGGGCAGTCTGTGGGAAAGAGGAGTCAGGAGGGGGGGTGCTGGTGTACGTGCGTGCGTGCGTGCGCGCGTGTGTGTGTGTGTGTGTGTGTGTGTGTGTGAGAGAGAGAGAGAGAGAGAGAGAGAGAGACATGCCTGTCTTGTTTTTAAGAGTGTGCATTATTCACTTTATGTTCTATAACAAAACACTTTCAGACAGGTTAGCTTTAAACAACAAATTTATTTCTCATGATCCTGGATGATCCTGGAGGCCGGGGACTCCAATATCAAGGTGCTGGGCACTAGAAGTCTGCGCAGACAGCCACCTGCCCGCTGTGAGCTCAGCAGCTCTGGTGGGTAATCAATACTGACTGGAGACTGGTGGCTGTGTCTGTGAGGGTGCTTCTGGGGGCGTTAACTGGGATGGGAAGTCCCACCCTGAGTGTGGGTATGATGCATCTGAGGGCTGAGGTCTCAGACTGAGAGGGGGAAGTCAGAAGGGCATCCGCATTCAGTGTGCTGAGCTCCGTGACAGCAAGTGAAGCATGATCAGCTGCTCACACTCCAGCCTTAAAGGCCAGGCTACTCCTGCTGTCACACCTGCTCTGCCATGAGGAACTCTGTCTCCTTGAGCTGCCATAACCCTTTCTTACCTTAAGTTGCTTTCCTCTGGTATTTGTAACAGCAATACCTAAAATAACTAACGCTGTCTCTTGATGCAAAAGCAGAGGAAACAGGTCTCTGCTGCTAACCAGACCAGATAACGACTCTAGGCCCTTATGACTCTATTTTGCCTTAATTGTACTCCCAAAGGCCAGATCGTCAAGTATGGCCACCCTAGACATCACCCTTTATAATAGCCACAAACAACATAAAATACCTTGAGGTAATGCTAACCAAACAAGTAAAGGATCTGTATAGCAAGAACTTTGAGTCTTCAAAGAAAGAAATTAGCCTGTACTCTTGGGGGAAGGCCTAGCCCCTGCCCTGGATGAAATGACAGACTCTGGAGATCCTCCATGGAGGGCCTCACCCTCCCTGGGGATCAGAGTGGGCATTGGGTGGGGGACTGGGGGGCCTGGTGGGAGGAGGTTGGGGGAAGAGGGGAGGGAGAGGGAACTGGGATTGATATGTGAAGAAAGCTTGTTTCTAACTTAAATTTTTAAAAAGGAGGGAAAAAAGAAAAAAGACTTCTTGAATTTTTGAACACACACACACACACACAAAACAAGAAATTAAAGAAGATACCAGAAAGTGGAAAGATCTCCAATGCTCTTGGATAGGTAGGATCAATGTAGCAAAAATGGCAATCTTGCAAAAAAAAAAAAGTCTGCAGATTCAATGGGATCCCCATCAAAATCCCAGCACAATTCAGACCTTGAAAGGACAATTCTCAACTTTATATGGAAAAACAAAAGGCCCAGGATAGCCAAAACCACCCTGTACAATAAAGGAACCTCCGGAGGCATCACCATCCCTGACTTCAAGCTCTATTATAGAGCTATAGTCCTGAAAACAGCTTGGTATTGGCACAAAAATGGACAGGTAGACCAATGGAATCAATTGAAAACCCTGATATGGACCCACACATCTATGAACACCTGATTTTTGACAAAGAAGCTAAAGTTATACAATTGATTAACTTCTTATCCTGTCACCCCCAGAATGAAAAGGAGACCCTGGAACACTGCTTTGTAAGATTGAGGGCTGTGCCTGGCACAGACAAGACAAAAAAGAAGCCACACAAACAGAAAGCAAAGCACATATAAATCATGTCTAAATGAAGAGATGATTTTAAAACTACATTTGTTTGTCTATTGTGAGGATCTGGGCGCATGTGCTCTAGAACACACGTAGAGGTCTTGCAGGAGTGGATTCCTTCGTCTTACGAGGAATTGTCCGAGGATTGAACTCAGATCCTTGGGCTTGGTGGCTGCGAGTTCCTGTATCCATGGACCCATTTTGTCAGGAACAGATTTTTTTTAAATGGCACCAATTGGCAGAATTATGTGATAAACTGGCATCATCACTCACGTCCTTAGGATGGAATGGGAGCCTCAGCCAGGAAGGACCAGGGGGTCCAGGAAAAGGAAGGAATGGCGGCGGTGCTGTAGAACTGGGCTGAGTCCTTACTCTGGGAGGAGCAGCAAGGAGCAGGGGGAGGCGACAAGAGGGAGTAGAGGAGGGACTACGGGTAGCGAGTAGGTCCAGTGGAAACTGGTGGGAGACTCACGCGCTCTGGTCAAAAGAGGAAGGCTGTAGTGGCAGACAGCCCAGGTGGAGCAGCGGCAAACGGTAGGCACCTCCCACCCTCGCGCTCGTGTCACCGGCTGCGGGTGGCCACCTCAAGAGGAAGTCGGAGGTACTGGACTCTAGCTCACAGAGGCACCGCGACATGAGTCGGCTTTAGCTGGTGTGTTCCACAAACAAGGATTCTGAATGGATGGGTAGCGAGATACAATAAAGCGCTCCACAGTCCGCTGAGTTTGAAAAACACCAAGGTCGAACATGACCCCTGCATAGTACAAGCCTTCCAGAGACTTTAAAACATGTGGAAAAGAGAAAGCGTACAGTGTGCTCCCTGAGTGTGCCTGGCTGACAAATCCTGTTTTGCTTTGTTCCTGAAGCATCTCTAGGGTTTAGTTTCCTTGAGAATAGACATTTTCTTTTTAGAATTATTTTACGTGTGTGTCTGGTGTGCCTGTATGTGTGTGTGCGCACCACATGTGGCTAGTGCCTGCAGAGGCCTAAAAGGTGTCAGATCCTCAGTGCTGGAGTTACTCAAGGCCGTGTGCCATCGTGTAGGGGCCGGGAATTGAACCCATCCTCCGGAAGAGCTGCCAGTGCTCTTTACCACTGAACATCCTAGAACGTGTGTTCTGAGAGTGGGGTTCTGGGAGCAGTGGTGGCCGGTGTTCGCCAAGGCCTGTCTGAGATGCAGATTCTCAGGCCCCCTCTTCTGCCACTCTGGGAGTGGAACCAGGAAGCAGCTTTAGGGGCCCCCCAGGCATTCTGGTGCATGCTGGAGTTTGGGAGCCACCAGTTACAGGATGCTGATTGGTACTCACATCCAGCAAAGACTTTGTTAAGGGCTTGGCTGGGTCGAGATGAGGTC